AGGCCCCGACTCGTATAACTCTGTGTTCATCAAGAACTGCAAGAAGCCACTGTCATGTGCCTTTAGCATTCTATGGAGAGGGAGCATGGACACAGGGGTCATCCCACGGTCACTAAAAAAACTGACGTAGCCCCACTCCACAAAGGGGGCCGAAAAGCAATAGCGAAAAATTACGGACCAATGGCGCTAACGTCCCATATCACAAAAATCTTTGAAAGGGTTCTAAGAAGCAAGACCCCCCACCCACCTAGATACCCATCAGTTACACAACCCAGGGCAACATGGGTATTTGGGACAGGCTCCTGCCTGTCCCAAATACACTGGACCACTACGACAAGGTCCTGGATGCTCTAGAGCAGTGGTTCCCAAACTGGGGGTAAATTACCCCCTGGGGTTAATTTAACCATTTTTGGGGGGTAATGGAGGGGTGACAGAAAAAAAGTTATGAATTCTGAAAATCAAGAAAACAATGCAGTACCCGGTATGAGGATTATTGTTAACTTTGTCTTAGTATATAAAGTTGTAAAGTAAACCTATTATAAGTAAGTAATAAAGTTAAACCAAATAACAATAAACATCAAAAACTAATATATAGTATTAGAAAAGAAGAAATATATAGCTAAGTATGTGGAAACCCAAAAGTATTTTGACAAGTATGCTTCAGGACAAAAGTCACTCAGTAGCCCAGATCGACCTGTCCAGTACGCGTCACTCACTTCCTGAGGCTGCCTCTATTTCACACTGTCAGTTTATCTGTGAGCATCAGCCGAGGTAGACATAAGCTGGTATGTATGTGTACTGCCCTGTGTAGTATATAGTTAGTATTTACCCACTGTTACTGTGAATTTGTAGCTATTATTAATTTTATATATAATGTATGTGTGGTTCTTACGTTTTCAATGGTTTTGCTAGGATTAGCAGAGTATGCGAGGCTGTATACGTTCACGTTTAGCCATATATATCAATAATAACAACATTTTGTGAAAGGGGTAACATGCTTTATGTGGCATGTTAAATTGGGTAACAAGCTGAAAAAGTTTGGAACCACTGCTCTAGAGGATAAACAAAATGTGAAGCTTTCGACAAGTGTGACTGGTGTAAGAGCACACAAAATGCGTGATAAAGGAATAACAGGAAAAGTTGGTAGATGGATCTATAATTTCCTAACAATTAGAACACAAAGAGTAGTAGTAGTAAACAGAATAAAGTCTGAGGCGGCTATTGTGAAAAGTTTTGTTCCACTAGGCACAGTACTCGCTCCCATCCTGTTCCTCATCCTCATATCTGACATAGAGATGTAAGCCACAGCACTGTGTCTTCCTTTGTGGTGACACCCAAATTTCCATGACAGTATCACCCATCAAAGACACTGCAAGTCTCCAAGCGGGAATCAGTAAAATTTTTAACTGGGCCGCAGAAAACAATATGAAGTTCAATGAAGAGAAATTTCAGCTACCCCGATATGGAAAACTTAATTAAAATTGTATCATTATAAAACAAATTCCAACCACACGACAGAGCAGAAAACTAATGTGAAGGACCTGGGAGCGATAATCTCAGAGGATCTCACTTTCAAAGACCACAACAATATATCTACCACATTTGCTAGAAAAAAAATTATAGGATGGATAATAAGAACCTTCAAAACAAGGGATGCAAGCCCATGAGGATTCTCTTCAAATCGCTTGTCCTCTCTAGGCTGGAATATTACTGTACACTGCCCCCTTCAAGGCAGGCAAAATTGCTGACCTGGAGAATGTGCAGAAAACTTTCACGGCACACATAAGTACGATAAAACGTATAAATTACTGGGAAGGATTAAAGCCCCTTGATTTGTATTCCCTGGGAAGCAGGTGAAAAAGATACAGGATAGTATACAGCTGGAAAATCCTAGAGGGATTAGTACCAAATTTGAACACGAAAATCACTCCCGACAAAAGCAAAAGACTCGGCAGGAGATGCAACACCCCCCACTGAAAAACAGGAGAGCCACGAGTACACTACAAGACAACAGAATAAGTGTTAGAGGCCCAAGAATGTTCAACTACCTCCTAGCAAGCATAAGAGGGGATTACCAATAGACCCCTGGTTGTCTTCAAGAAGGCGCTGGACAGGCGCCTAAAGTCAGTACCTGATCCTTCACGGCCAACAGTAACAGCTTGGTTGATCAGACCCTGATCCACCACGAGGCTTGGTCACAGACCGGGCCGCGGGGGGCGTTGATCCCCGAAACACTCTCCAGGTATCTCCAGGTGGCATACTTGTGTCAGAGGCCAGACAGGTAAGGTAGCACTGTGGACAGTGGTTTCGGAGCACACCATTTCACATTGATCTTCAGATACATGATAGAACCGTTGAATTGGCAAAGTCATATGCCGTCAAAGAGGGAGTAGATTACAATCTTGGCTTGTCAGTTAGCAGTTTCAGAACAATTATACGAAAAGAACTTCAACTGAACTTTATTGACTTAAGATCGGCAGTGTTTGAGTACTGAAGGCTCACATTTGTGGAGCTGTATAGCCCTTGTGGTTTAGCGCTTCTTTTTTATTATAATAATAATAATCATATTTGTGGATCTTTGAGCTTACGCCTGATTCACAGTCGAGTGTAGTGAAGGTGCCCTTATGACCTTACCTGTTTGTGGTGTAAGTTTAATTCACAAGGATTTGGATAACATTTAGACATGACCACTAATTAGGCAAGATTAAAATGAATAGATGGTTTGCCATGATGTCTGTGTGTACAGCTAATCGTTGGTCTATCTTACAACCTTGTCCAGTGATTGCAATCCATAATCTTGTACAAGGTAAGTAGGGACCTAGCATAGGCCCAGAGTTAGTTAGTCATAGGTGTTAACCACACGCGCCAAGCAAGTCAAGAGGGAAACAACAGTCAAGGACCAGGTAATCAGGCTGAGGAAGGAAGGTGGGGAGCTCACAAGAAACGACCAAGAAGTATGTGAGGAGCTCAACATGAGATTTCAGGAAGTATTTACAGTGGAAGCTGAAGGGACATTGGGAAGACAAAACAGTGGGGTACATCAACAGGGGATATACCAACAAGTATTGGATGAATTACACACAACTGAGGAGGAGGTGAAGATCCTAAGTGACCTTGATACCTCAAAGGTGGTGGAATCGGACATCTCTCCGTGGGTCCTTAGAGAGGGAGCAGAGACACTACGTGTGCCACTAACCAAAATCTTCAACACTTCCCTTGAAACTGGGCAACTACCTGAAGTATAGAAGAAGGCAAATGTAATCCCCATCAGAAATGAAGCACTAAATTATAGACCAGTGTCACTGACGTGTATAGTATGCAAAGTCATGGAGAAGATTATCAGGAGGAGAGTGGTGGAGCACCTGGAGCAGAACAAGATTATAAACGACAGCCAGCACGGATTCATGGAAGGCAAATCCTGTGTCACAAACCTACTAGAGTTTTATGACAAGGTAAATGAAGTAAGAAATGAGAGGGAGGGGTAGGTTGATTGCATTTTCTTGGACTGCAAGAAGACCTTCGGCACAGTTCTTCACAAGAGATTAGTACAGAAGCTAGAGGAACAGGCACATATAACAGGAAGGACGCTGCAATGGATCAGAGAATACCTAACAGGGAGGCAACAGCGAGTCATGGTCCGTGATGAGGTATCACAATGGGCGCCGGTGACGAGCGGGGTCCCACAGGGGTCAGTCCTGGGACCAGTGCTATTCTTGGTATATGTGAACGACATGACGGAAGGGATAGACTCAGAAGTGTTTCTGTTTGCAGATAATGTTAAGTTAATGAGGAGAATTAAATCAGATGCGGACCGGACAAGTCAACAAAGAGACCTGGACAGGCTGGATGCGTGGTCCAGCAAGTGGCTCCTAGAATTTAACACCGCCAAATCCAAAGCCATGAAGATCGGAGAGGGGCAAAGAAGACCGCAGACAGAGTATAGGCTAGGATGCCAAAGACTGCAAACCTCTCTCGAGGAGACACTCAAGGAGAAAGATCTAGGAGTATAATACCGAGTACATTTCCAGAAGCACACATTAACCAGATAACTGCTGCGGCATATGGGCTCCTGGCAAACCTGAGAACAGCGTTCCGGTACCTCAGTAAGGAATTGTTCTAGACTTTATACATTGTGTACATCAGGCCCATACTGGAGTACGCAGCACCAGTTTGGAACCCACACCTGGTCAAACACGTCAAGAAATTAGAGAAAGTGCATAGGTTTGCAATAAGGCTGGTTTCAGAGAAATTAGAGAAAGTGCATAGGTTTGCAATAAGGCTGGTTTCAGAGCTAAGGGTAATGTCCTATGAAGAAAGGTTAAGGGAAATCGGTCTGATGACACTGGAGGACAGGAGGGTCAGGGGAGACATGATAACTACGTACAAAATACTGTGTGAAATAGACAAGGTGGACAGAGACAGGATGTTCCAGAGATGGGACACAGAAACAAGGGGTCACAATTGGAAGCTGAAGACCCAGATGAGTCAAAGGGATGTTAGGAAGTATTTCTTCAGCCACAGAGTTGTTAGGAAGTGGAATAGTCTGGCAAGCGATGTAGTGGAGGCAGGAACTATACATAGTTTTAAGACAAGGTATGATAAAGCTCATGGAGCAGGGAGAGGGAGGACCCAGTAGCGGTCAGTGAAGAGGCGGGGTCAGGAGCCGAGTCTCGATCCCTGCAACCACAATTAGGTGAGTACGTTCACTCCACCAGAGACTTAAAGTGCTGGATGTTTTCTACCTGGATAATGGACAAGGCGCCAGGTGTCATCAGAGACATCAGATTGGCAAGTGACCACTAGCCGCCAGTATGCTTTCAGTTATACAGCCCTGTCGAAGGGAAGAACTCAAGTAATATCTAGACCTGGGATGGCTGGGGTCTATGAGAACCTGACTAACCAGTGATTGCTTTGCGCCAAAGTAGAACCCCAGATGATCAACAGCAACGTTTGTTTGGGAGAGGAATGAAAAATATTCACATATTTCACTCTGTATTTTATTAAACATAACAAGGAATGGTAAACAATATATATTCATACCTATCAATAATTAACATGTAGACGAAATACATTTAACAGATCTTACTGAATTCTGACTTATTGTAGATGTGGTGTTGTTATATCTTTTCAGTCTTGGTATTTCTGCAGACCAGATGACGGACACTGCTGCACTGCAAGATAATCAAAATGTTCTTCAAGAGGCCAAATTACTGCAAAGAAATCGGTTTTTGTCGTTGTTGTTGTCGTCAATATTATCAGAATCATCACCATCGCCATCATTATTATCGTCGTTATCATTGTTAACCCCGCCTTCATCATCACAATCGTTCGCATTTTAAGGGTCTTCAGCGTCCTAGTCCCCATTACCGTCACCTCCACGATCAGTATAATCGTCATCATAGTAAACGACTCCCTCATCATCATATAGTGACTGTCATCATCAGCCCAGATTCAGATTTTGCTACCGAAGTGGCTAGTTTATTGTACACCCCATATCCACCCTGTGGACAGTAGCGGAAGAGCGTATGGATACACAAAAGGCCGAGGAACTAGGCTCCAAAAGGCTTAACAGGTGTACATATGGGTTTATATCTACAGTTCACTTATCTGTTACAAGCAAATTTAGGAAATTTGCTTAGTATATCTGGTATCTTATTTTCATTAATAAGATATCTTGACATGTCACATAGGTTATTATACTGTCTGTCTCTGTATTCCTCAATAAGTGGACAATTAAGCACATAGTGTTCAAGAGTGACCATATGCCTGATCACATAATTTACATTTAGTTTGATCATCATCTGTGTGTCTTCCAAACTGCCAGAAGTACTTGTAACCAAGTCTAAACCTGACCACTACAACATCAGTCAGTCTGTTCACATTGCAAGTTGCTCTAATGCTAGACACAGATATACCAAAAGTTATATTCTACATTCTCCTTCTGGGTACTCTTCTTGGCTAACATATCAACTTTATCATGAAGGAGTAATCCAATGTGTGATGGGATAGATAGCAATTGTACATTGATCCCTTTGTCCCTGATTTTTGAGTATCTATACCTGGCTTCTCCAATGAGCATGTTGTTGGAGTCATTATATGACTCCAACAACATGCTCATTGGAGAAGTCAAGAGTCTTCAATGATTACATAGAATCAGTAATGATAATAGTGTCAAGCTCAGTGTCATAGGTTAGCTTTAGCGCCATTAGGATTGCAAACAATTCAGTTTGCAGTGTAGACGCCCAGTTGTTAATTCTTATGCCTAGTTCAACAAGTTTATTATCGTTCTAAACTAGGGAGGTGGCAACAAGAGCAGATGCAGCCCTGCCAGAAGACTCCTGTTTAGATCCATCAGTGTATATAACTTGTGATGGTGCTAATGTGAGAATCGTGAGAATGATATACATAGCCTATGTTTGGTCCTTAATTGATTATGCTGCTCCCATGCTGATAGTAGCTAGAGAAAGTTCTCTCCGACCCTTGGAGTTAATGCAAAATGAAGCTCTAAGAATTTTTCTTGGGTGCCCCAAATCATCAGCCCAGCATGACGTTAACAAACTTTCTCCTGCCTCAAGTTAAACACTACTCCTGGTAGTTGTGTTTCCAGCTGAGCTCACATTGGTCTTCAGATCCATGATAGAACTGATGAATTGCCTAAGTTATATACGTTCAAACAGAGAGTAGATTACAATCTTGGCTTGTCAGTCAGCAGTTTGAGAACAGTAATACGATAAGAACTTACTGAACTTCATTGACTTAAGACTGAGGGAGACTGATACCAGTCAGTCCATCTATCATCATTCTATCATGCAGGAGGAGCCACATGTCTATGGTGCATCCAACAAGATAAGCAGACTCTTGGATGTCACTACTGTCCGGCTCCGGCTGGGTTACAAGTATCTTTGGCAGGTTAAATCACCACCACCAGATGTAGACCAAACGAAATGTAAACTTTGCCAGATGGACTGTTGTCACACCCTGCGTCATTATATACTAGAGTGCGATAAAATTAATGAACTCTAAGACAACTCATTCAGAAATGTTGAAGATATATCAAAGCATTTTATCCACAGTGATATATTTAAAAACATTTCGGAAAAATATCCTGACTTTCCTCATTGTAAATAAGGCAAATATTTGCGCTAATAACTCATTACAATTGTGATCGGGTATAGACGTGTGGATGGTTCATTACCTTTGTAACTTGTTCAGTTATCAAAACTTTGGGCTCCAGTCCCTGTGCCCATTATGTACCTCTGTAATCCTTTGACTACCACCCACAGGACGGGTATAGGGGCGTATAATAAAAATATTAAACTAACAGCTGAGTGAGACAGAATAAAGGCCCACTCAGCAGGTGGACACCACACCTAGAGAACTAAACTACTGCAGGAAAATAATATTTAATGTGAATACATGAACGCTTTCTACTACCAAGTTTTATCCGAGGTAGCTAAGTGTTCCATTGTTTACAAGAGTTTTGTATTTATTTAGTCTTATAAATCGGGAGTTTAGCGTTTTAACCAATACAATCATGGTAGTTTAAAGTTAAGAAAATATTGTACAGTCGGTATTCTTGTCAGATAACAGCTTATGGCACGTAGCTATTTACACAAAAACAACTAAACTAAATTAATTAACAAATTAAAAAAATCAGTAATTAACATGTAATCTGAATATAAAACTATTTAAAGCGAAGGTTCCATGCTCCCTTTTCAATATTTTTATATATCCTTGAATTCAAACAAAAGATCAGTAAATAGGAAGGTGCGTACAAAGCAGAGTCTCCTGGGAGTTCTTCAGTCACTGAAGTCTTGGAAGAGCTGAACAATGTGTCTATATACGAGGTCGGCAGCGTTCTCGGCATATAAGAAGTCGAGGTGATTATAGTCTGGTAGAGGAACTTGACGGTTGAGAACCAGCCTCGGCAGCTTCGACAGCGTCAGTTGCATCCCCTGCAACAACACGTCACGGTCATCTAGAATGGCTGGCAATTCTTACCTGTTTAACCTTCCAACATCTGCTTAAAAAAATGATGTAATACTAATTTAACACATACCTGAAATAAGGTAATACCTATATATAAAATAAATTTAGAGAAAATACTAAATAAACTAAGACTTACTCCAACAATTACAGGGAAACCCATGACTATGGTAGGTCACCAACTTAACCATTATCTAGAAGATAAAGTCAAGATGTCAAGGACTTCTTCATCGAAGACTCACGCAACGAGTAATAAAATTCTAAATCTTATGCTATCATGTTAAATTTATCAAAAAAAAAAAAAAATTCCTGGTGAATTTGCAATGTCCGAAAATGTGGCCAAAAGCGAATTTTATCCATGTTCTTGGTGACTATTTTTTTGGATTTCTGCTAATCCTGCAAAATGCTTTAATCTGCCACAATAGGATTCATCGGTCCTTGTACCAGGGACCTCCAGGCATAATAAACTTTCAAAAACAACTATACTTCCAACAATTCCAGGATTACCAGTAAACTGATACAGTGGTTACTGGACGTGAACAAGGCGCTTTCTGAAGCGATAGTTAAAGGAACCATTAAGAAAAAAGAAGACTTCTCGCCCTGAAACAACTCGCGATCCACAAAAATAATGCAAAGATGAGTATATCCTCACCTCTGGTGCGACGACAGCGTCTCCTTCAGCCCAGAAGACACCCACTGGAACGGTGACGCTGTTTAGCGTGAAGTCTGGAGGAGAAGGCGTCCCGTACTCCACTAAGTTCCTGGCATGGCCGTAGTCGTAGGCATGAAACCCGCCTGTAACACCATGGTCACTTGACAATTATACTGCTTTTGAGGGGGATTTTGGGAGATGCTTCGTGATAGCGTTTTTTTTTTTTAAATCGTATTGGTAGTGGACATGGTTAGTGTGATATAGTGTGTGGGAAGACCGGGGAATTATTGGTAAGATTAGCTATGATACTTTATATCAGCATCATACAATGTTTGTATAGAGGTGGATGATATTTAGGTGTACATGCAGAAAGCCCCATAATATGCAGAACATTTCAGGCAATCTTAAGATTACCTTGAGATTAATAAGGCAATGATAATTTAAATTGTTTTGTATAGTCTGTTAGGTTGTTGTAAGTAGAAAATTAGGAGTTATAGTGAATACAAGAGAATTGGATGTCGTATTAGTACATGTTATGTGACTTGTATTATGTTTAATTGTTTAAAGAATTAAGGGTTTGATGATGTTTATAGGTAATGAGGATTCTAGCATATAAACATAATGTGATAATTACAGATATTAAGGATAAGATCATATTGTTTTACATATGTTAGTATGGTATAAACCTTGGTAATAAATACCGACAAGTTGGTTTAGAAAGACACGTAAAGAAACACTATGACATATTTATTAGACAACGTTTCGGTCCTGGGACTTGATCACTTCAGAAATGATCAAGGTTCCAGTACTGAAACGTTTTCTAATAAATATGTCATAGTGTTTGCTTACGTGTCTTTCTAAACCAACTTATGTTAGTGACAATGAGAATATGGATATATAGTCTTCACATATGTAGCTGATGTTGAGATATGTTAGGGAGAGAAGGTGGCTGAGACAGTGGCTGGCTGAGACAGTAGCTGGCTGAGACAGTGGCTGGCTGAGACAGTGGCTGGCTGAGACAGTGGCTGGCTGAGACAGTGGCTGGCTGAGACAGTGGCTGGCTGAGACAGTGGCTGGCTGAGACAGTGGCTGGCTGAGACAGTGGCTGGCTGAGACAGAGCTCAGGAGATTTCCGACAGAGAGTTCCAGATTTTTGGCCTTTTATGTACAATGAATTTTTACAGAGATATAGCCTGAGACGAGGTATGTCATATAGACTTTTGTGCCCAGTATTATGTTTATGAGTCCTGTTGCAACTATCAAGAAAGTGCTTCAGGCCGAACTTAATACTAGAATACTGTTTTGTAAATGTAGCATTTTGTTGGGTTGCTTTTGATTTAGGTTAGTTGCTATTGTGGATCCCCAGGCACAAATAGCATAGGTGATGTAGGGGTATATCAGCGAATAGTTTAATGTAAGTAGCACTGTTTATGGTACATAATAACGTAGCTTTGAGAGGATGCCAACTGTTTTGGACACTTTTTTTGTTATGTGTAGGATATGGGTGTTGAATTTTAAGTTGCTGTCAAGGTGCAGACCCATAAATTTTTCCCTATTTATGTCTAGCAATAACAATATTGTTAACCATAATGTTTAGTCGGAGATCACTTGCTCTACTCCTGAACATAATGTAGAAGGTTTTGTCAATGTTAAGTGTAAGTTTATTGGTAGTCATCCAAGTTGATATTTTTAGTAGCTCTTCATTAACAATGTTGTTGAATGATGCTGGATTTGGGTGGGTGATGACAAAAACTGTGTCGCCATCAAAGAGAAGAGGTCTAAGTTGCTGCAACACATCTGAAAGGTAGTTAACGTGTAAAAGAAAAAGTAGGAGGGCAAGGACACCTCCCTGTTCTTGTTAGAGACGTATTGCTATCTGTTAGTAAGGCAAGACTTTATATGTGCAAGTGCAAGGCCTCTGATACTATAATGATCAAGTTTGTGAAGTAGGAAGCTGTGGTCTACTGTATCAAAGGTTTCCTTAGGTCGATTGTTGTGTACAGAAAGGCTAGCATTTTCATAATTGCATCATTTGTGCTTTTGTTTCTTTTGAAGTCAAACTGGCAGGGGTTGACGATGCCTTGTGATGTTATGAGTATAATCTCTTGTGTACAAGTTTCTCGAAGATTTTGGATAGTAAAGGCAAGCTTGATATTGGTCTATAGTCGTTCACATCTGTTGGGTCACAACCTTTGTGTGTTGGTGTAACACTTGCTATCTTGAGTAATGTCGGGTAAGATAAGATAAGATAAGATTTTTAACCCCGGAGGGTTAGCCACCCAGGATAACCCAAGAAAGTCAGTGCGTCATCGAGGACTGTCTAACTTATTTCCATTGGGGTCCTTAATCTTGTCCCCCAGGATGCGACCCACACCAGTCGACTAACACCCAGGTACCTATTTGCTGCTAGGTGAACAGGACAATAGGTGTAAGGAAACGTGTCGGAATTTCCACCCGCCGGGAATCGAACCCGGGCCCTCCGTGTGTGAAGCGGGAGCTTTAGCCACCAGACCACCGGGTTTCTAGTGCTGGTTTCTAGTGATATGTTAAAGAGTAATGTAATGGTGTGAGAGGACTTGAGCCGCTCATTTGAACAATAGTTTTGGAGCTTTAGCTAGATTTCATGATTTATTTTTTAGCGAATTAATAATCGGGGTGAATTAAGTGGGCTGGGATAGTGCAAGATAGAGGGATGTTGAGAAGTTTCCATGTAGGTAATCACTCGCTCATGTATTGGTGATTGGAATTTTACTGGTGAGACTTAATCCTATGGTTGAGAAAAAGTCATTTATCTTGTTAGCCGTTTCAATATGCTGGAGTTGTGGTTCGTTTGGTTAAATTAGGACAATATCTCTAGTTTTGCTCAGCTTTTAGGAGCCCAGGATATGAGAGTGTCTTTCAGGTCATTTTTTTTTTTATCTCCTCTCGTTTCAGTGAATTTATTAGAATAATACATTTGTTTTGATTTTCTTATTAGTTTGGTGAGGACAGACGTTTAGTGTTTACTAAGTTCTTTAGTTATTAAGCCCTGTCTACATTACTTTTCATATTGATGTTTCTTATCAATGGTTCTTAAAATGCTGTAGGTCAGCCACGGACAGCTTAGGCGTTTATTAGTGATCTGTTTAGTTTTATGGGACAATGTTTGTTATGAAATCAATGTATTTTATTTAGAAATATGTCAATCCATTCATCGATACCACTGATATTGGAAAATTCTGTAGGGCAGTCAAATGAGCTTAGAGTTGCAGTGAGGCCTCACGGAGGATCATCCACTGTGGTAACTAGTGTAGAGTGGGTCACACACTGTGGTAACTAGTGTAGAGTGGGTCACACACTGTGGTAACTAGTGTAGAGTTGGTCACACACTGTGGTAACTAGTGTAGAGTGGGTCACACACTGTGGTAACTAGTGTAGAGTGGATCATCCACTGTGGTAACCAGTGCAGAGTGTGGGAACACAGAGTACTTGTGTGTACCACTACTCTAGTAACTGATACGGGAAGTGGACAGATTTTAAAACTAGTGATAACTGATAAGAGGAAGCAGACAGGTGTCAAAACTACTGTGATTACTGATACAGGAAGTAGGCAGGTGTTACAGCTACTGTAGTTACTGATACAATAAGTAAACAGGTGTTACAATTACACGTAAACTGCGGCTTAATACATAATACAATACAGGACAATACAGTATTTCTTTTATTTGTTTTACACGTATAAAAATGGACAATATAATTCTGAGTGCACAAAGCTTATGTTTGAACACCTGTGGTAACTTAAATAATGTTAGAAATTACTTGGCTACTAAATTACAATGAACATATCGTAGGTAAGAGTTGCTTACCTTAACACAGTGGTGGAGCTGCAGGTGTGTGACTCATCTGAGTGGTGGAGCTGCAGGTGTGTGACTCACCTGAGTGGTGGAGCTGCAGGTGTGTGACTCATCTGAGTGGTGGAGCTGCAGGTGTGTGACTCATCTGAGTGGTGGAGCTGCAGGTGTGTGACTCACCTGAGTGGTGGAGCTGCAGGTGTGTGACTCACCTGAGTGGTGGAGCTGCAGGTGTGTGACTCATCTGAGTGGTGGAGCTGCAGGTGTGTGACTCATCTGAGTGGTGGAGCTGCAGGTGTGTGACTCACCTGAGTGGTGGGGCTGCAGGTGTGTGACTCACCTGAGTGGTGGAGCTGCAGGTGTGTGACTCATCTGAGTGGTGGAGCTGCAGGTGTGTGACTTATCTGAGTGGTGGAGCTGCAGGTGTGTGACTCATCTGAGTGGTGGAGCTGCAGGTGTGTGACTCACCTGAGTGGTGGAGCTGCAGGTGTGTGACCCACCTGAGTGGTGCAGCTGCACCAGGTGTGTGCGTTACTCACCTGAGTAGTGCAGCTGCAGCAGGTGTGCGTTACTCACCTGAGTAGTGCAGCTGCAGCAGGTGTGCGTTACTCACCTGAGTAGTGCAGCTGCAGCAGGTGTGTGTGACTCACCTGAGTGGTGCAGCTGCAGCAGGTGTGTGTGACTCACCTGAGTGGTGTAGCTGCAGCAGGTGTGTGTGACTCACCTGAGTGGTGCAGCTGCAGCAGGTGTGTGTGACTCACCTGAGTGGTGCAGCTGCAGCAGGTGTATGTGACTCACCTGAGTGGTGCAGCTGCAGCAGGTGTGTGTGACTCACCTGAGTGGTGTAGCTGCAGCAGGTGTGTGTGACTCACCTGAGTGGTGTAGCTGCAGCAGGTGTGTGTGACTCACCTGAGGGTGCAGCTGCAGCAGGTGTGTGTGACTCACCTGAGTGGTGCAGCTGCAGCAGGTGTGTGTGACTCACCTGAGTGGTGCAGCTGCAGCAGGTGTGTGTGACTCACCTGAGTGGTGTAGCTGCAGCAGGTGTGTGTGACTCACCTGAGTGGTGCAGCTGCAGCAGGTGTGTGTGACTCACCTGAGTGGTGCAGCTGCAGCAGGTGTGTGTGACTCACCTGAGTGGTGCAGCTGCAGCAGGTGTGTGTGACTCACCTGAGTGGTGTAGCTGCAGCAGGTGTGTGTGACTCACCTGAGTGGTGCAGCTGCAGCAGGTGTGTGACTCACCTGAGTGGTGCAGCTGCAGCAGGTGGGTAACAATGTGAAGACCAGCGCCCGACGGCCAGTGAGAGAAGATCACGGGCAGGTACTCCTAAATGAGAAGATTATTTTTTTGTTTTATTAACATGCTGAATTAGTAAGCCAGGATAACCCAGTTGAGTCAGGATGTCATCAAGAACTGTCTTATTTTGCCCCGGGGTTTTAAATTCTCTCTCTCCCAGGATGCGACCTATACCAGTCGCCTAACACCCAGGCACCTGTGTTAATGTTGGTAGACTTACTGGCAATATGTTAAGTAAAAGAAAGTGTAACTAATGTGAATTTTTATTGTGGCAACGTTTCGCTCTCCAGGAGCTCTGTCAGGCTTGACGAAGCTCCTGGAGAGCGAAACGTTGCCACAATAAAATGTGATATTAGTTACACTTGTGTTCTCTTACTTAACAACCCAGGTACCTACTTATTGCTAGGTGAACATGGGCAGCAGGTATAAGGAAACATGCCCAATGTGTTCACTCGTGGTATATTGGTCGCCTTTGTATCGACTGAGGAGGGCTACTGTGCGGGCGAAACGTCTCAATAAAGAAAATATTTAAATATTGTAAGAGGTTTATCCATGTATTAGTCGATATTGTATACTACTGATATAATGACACTCGTGCCGGGGATCAAGCCCCGGTCCTCTCAGGGTGCGAGTTGAGGCGGCTGCCAACCAAGTCACGAGAGTTTCTGACGGCAGTAGCATAATATACGTACTGTATATTATGCTGAGGTCACCAAGGACCAGCTTTCATTCAATATCAACTTACAATCATTAAACTTAAAGGTTATAACCTTCAGAAAAGCACGTAAGTTTTGCTTGAAGATAGAAAAAGCATTCATTGTATTAGGTGGACTCATTGTGGCCCGGTGGCCTGGTGGCTAAAGCTCCCGCTTCACACACGGACGGCCCGGGTTCGATTCCCGGCGGGTGGAAACATTTCGACACGTTTCCTTACACCTGTTGTCCTGTTCACCTAGCAGCAAATAGGTACCTGGGTGTTAGTCGACTGGTGTGGGTCGCATCCTGGGGGACAAGATTAAGGACCCCAATGGAAATAAGTTAGACAGTCCTCGATGACGCACTGACTTTCTTGGGTTATCCTGGGTGGCTAACCCTCCGGGGTTAAAAATCCGAACGAAATCTTATCTTATCTTCAGTGGTTGAATCATTACATTTTTTAAACAACCGCCCCATGTAATTAAGAGTAAGAGGGAGGTATGGTCTTATACGTTTGGTTCAGTAAGTTACTTAAGCCAACAGTATTACGTATTAGTAAACATTGAGTCCTGGTACCTTGATCATTTCTAACGTACAGAGATTCACTTATACCTGGAGAGGGTTTTGGGGGTCAACGCCCCTGCGGCCAGGTCTGAGACCAGGCCTCATGGTGGATCAGGGTCTGATCAACCAGGCTGTTACTGTTGGCTGTACGCAACCCGACGTACGAACCACAGCCCGGCTGGTCAGGTACTGACTTTAGGTGCATGTCCAGGGCCTTTTTGAAGACAGTCAGGGTCTATTGGTAATCCCCCATTATGTATGCTGGGAGGTAGTTGAACGGTCTTGGGCTCCTGACACTTATTGTGCATGTTCATGTATGTTTTGGTCACATTCTTTACATGTATGTTTTGCCAGGACGGGTCCTGGCCCGGGTCTTCTCCATGTGGTGACCCGACAGTGGCTCCCGAAAGAGTGTTGGAGTGTGTACCGGTGATTTACCGTTTACAGCCCTATGGCAGAGCAGCCCTGTGACAAAGGCACAGTGAGTCTTCTGCAGGTCAAGTGGACTACCGCTTGCAGCCCTATGACGAGGGCACGGTGACTTTTTCAGCTCCAGTTGAGTCATTCCTGGCACTCAAACCGCAGACCGAGGGCCAGAACGACTCAGGAAATTTTCTTGAGGTGTGCTGAACACCCAGCGTCTGACAGAGGTCCTGTGCAGACATACAGAGGTTAAAAAGACAGTATATATATAGGCGGAGAGTGAGGTGTCTGTGACACGTAGTGACCTATATTTACTGTCTTATTAACCTTTGTATGTTAGAAGTGATCAAGGTCTCAGGACCGAAACGTTTTCTAGTAAATATGTCCTAGTGTTTGCTCACGTATTTTATTAAGCCAATTTGTCGGTATTTATTACCACGGTTTATACCATAATATTATACCTCAGAAGATTATTAGGCGAAGGCTCTGAATCTCTGCTCTTTAAGAGATCAAAAGATTATAGCTCAACCCTTCAATGAGGTTCAGGAGCTGGAGATTAACACCTTAAAGAAGTCAGGTAGCTATAGGTTAACACTCTCAAAAGGCCCACTAGCTATCGACTGAAACTTTTTAAACGGTCATGAATTGGAGCTCGACTCAGCCTAACACTGAAAAAAATGCAGTCAGAAACTTATGAAATCAAAACAGCACAAAGACACATAATACGCTGTACGTGTCCATATTTCATGAATTAACAGAAACCCCCAAAACACCTCATGTAAAAGACTATTTTCATTACCTTAGTTACCGGCTCGCGTTCGTGTACTGTTAAGCATTCTTAATATCTCTCATGGGTGAAGGGAAAATGGCCATATACTGGGCAATCCTTGAGAGTCTGTAGTCGTTAAGGTAAGTGCTGGTAACCCTAATTCTTTAGTGCTCCAGAAGGGCAAGTATTGTACCCTTCGTTTTCTTTATTAATAAAACTGGAAGGTTGGCAGCTACACGGCCAAAGGCCATTCTGAACTTTCCACTCAGTACAACACAACAGTCCTGAGAATTTGAAGCCGACCAGAGAGACATTCTCAGAGTCAGCGTTCAGAAACCAATCTCCCATTTTGAATAATAAAAATAACAAATTAGCTCTAACAGCACATTAATAATCCAAACCTCCCTTTCAAGAGAAATATGTTGGTGTTGAAAGTTTGAGGTCGATCAAGAGATATTCTCAAGCTAATGCATTTAGGTTATTAATATTTTTAAGATTTGTTATAATAAATAAGCAAATTTGCACTTATACAATCAAAGGCCAATCAATACCATCTTTTGGGTTTAGGTACGATATTACTGAAAGCTGGAAGTCGTTCAGAAAAAGTGCCTCTACAAGCTATGAAATTGCAAGAGAAATAAAAATATTATAAATAATAACTGCAAATTGGCAGATTTGCAAATTGGACCGGACCTCGGGGGCTCTGACCCCCGGGACACCCTCCATATATACACAGTTTAATCGCAATCCAAACCTTTCCAGCTCTAAATGCTTAAAGTTGATCAAAATCGGAAATCAGAAGTCACACAAAAACCATTAAAGCAATTTAGTCTTCTAATTAGGGAAATTTACTAAGGAGCATTGAAATTTTGGTCAAAGCTGCACTCTTCAGGCATTGTTCCTTATATACATTTTAGATTCAGTGCCAAATATGAAGAGGATTTATTGAGATTTAGCCTACAGCATTTGTGATTACCTTTTAGTGATTCCCAAACTAAAGTGGCAAGCAAAGAACTATCATTCCATGATTGACAGGAAGACTGAACTCAAAACTGAGCCTCCGCTCATTGCTTCTTTATCAGATCAACAGGTTCTGAAAACTATTGAGACTCCACTGGAGGTGCCCAAGTGACCAAAGAACACTCAAGCTGTTGAGAGAGGGATAAAATTGATGACTGAACCTTGCACTGAAGTGACTGGACGCAAGAGATGGATATGCCAGGCAAAGAATGTTTTCCAGGAAAGTGATGCCCAAGTTCCGCACCAAGAAAGGCTTCACTTATAACTTGTAATAGTTTAAAATTAAATAATTGATTGATATTTCCCATGTACATTTGATTATACAATCTTCACAACCAAAAATGATGTAAACCAAGTACAATTGATTATTATCCTGATAACCAGTAATTTATAATTAATTGCTTTCAACGGTATATAATTTGACAAAAAGTCGATCGCGATGCTGCAGGGTAAATGGGCATGAAATTGTCTGAAATTTTGCAGAGAAGTTTGTTGTGACCATACAAATAATGCCTGAAAAGTGTAGCTTGCATATCTAAAAACTGTATTTTTTTTAATGCTCCGTAAAACTTGCGTCCACTCAGCCCAATAGTCGACTAACACCCAGGTATCCATTTTACTGATGGGTGAACAGGGACAACAGGTGTAAGGAAACACGCTTAATGTTTCCACCCTTGCCGGGAATTGGGCCTTGACTCAGCGTGTGAAGCGAGAGCTTTGCCTATCAGGCCACGAGCCACCCCCCAAAAAATATCCTGGAAAATTAAAGGCATTCACAAATAAAACGCATTTTAGAAAGGAATTTTCGACAACTTTTCGGGACATCCTAAACCATTATCAGGACAAAATTTGGTTTCTATTCCGTCTCCTTCCCACATGTGCTAGAGACAGTAAACATTCTATAAACTATCTATACTTCTAGCCTCCTCAGACGCTGTCTAGTTCAATCACTTTTGATACACAATATAAATTTAATTTTTGCCCCGTTGGTACCTTGTTCCCACTACATTGTTATTGTGGAAAATTACATTGATCTGAATGTATCATTATGTACATAACAGTAAATGAACAAAGATAATTATTATTTATCAGTTAGACAAGTAGGAATTTGGGACACCTAGGTCGCAAAAAAATATCCCCCTTCGATACCTACCACTGTCATATCCACAAGTTGCTCTGGACCTATTAATTACAAATAAAATGTGTATCGATAAATTAGACACATGTGCAACTCTTGGGAATTGAGGAATTAAGATCTCAAGAAGTTGAAGTGTCTGACAGGTTTGTAGATGAATGGTTCAGAGAACCGACATGTTGATAAATTAGACACATGTGCAACTCTTGGGTATCTTTATTGAGGAATTAAGATCCCAAGAAGTTGCAGTGTCTGACAGTTTAAATGACTGTTTGATGACAGGTCCGTTGTTGATGGAAAAATTAGGAGATATCTTATTAAATTTCAGAGTAAAGAATTATGCCTTTACGGCTGACATAAGTAAAGCTTTCCTAAGAGTGGGTTTACAAGAGGCTGACCGGGATTGTACCCGCTTCTTATGGCCTGAGAATCCTATTGACCCACTTAGCCCTCTGAAAACCTTTCGCTTTAGGAGCGTATTATTTGGTGCTACATCCAGTCCGTTCCTACTTCAAGCGGCGATAAATGCACACCCTAAATGTATGGGAAGTCCATTGAGTAGAGTAATGAACAAACAATTTTATGTGGACAATTTCCTGGGTGTGACGTCAACTGAAGAGGAACTGTTAATGACTTATGGAGAGACTAATAAAATAATGCAAAGTGCAAATATACCTCTGAGAGAATGGAATAGTAATTCGTCCAAATTAAAGGACAAAATAAGTAAAGATTACCCTGGAGATGAAGTGCCAAAATGTAGTAATGAACTGGGTTTAAATTGGGATACTGAGAGAGATTTGTTAATGTTAAAACCTAATAATTACAGTATGCCCAATAAATTAACTAAGAGAGTCTTGCTTGCTGAAGTTTCCAAATGTTTTGATCCACTAGGTTTAGTGTCACCCCTTACTATAAGAGGGAAATTATTAATACAGGAAGCATGGAAACTTAAATGTGCTTGGGATGAAATTCTACCTGAGGAATTCATTAACAGGTGGGATGAATTAATTGGTGATTATGAAAAAATTCCAATGTTGGAGTTCCCACGCCAGGTGGCCAATCCAAATGGGAAAAATGTACTCCACATTTTTTGTGATGCTTCAAAGTTGGCATATGGAGCAGTTGCTTACCTTCAATGTAATAGTGTTATTTCTCTTGTTATGTCTAAGGCTAAAGTGTCTACAATTAAATCACGTACTTTGCCTCAGTTGGAATTAACAGCTATTTATGTAGGTGTCAAATTAGATAGTTATATAAAAAATAAGTTGCATGAGATAAATATTAGCGACACTGTAATTTGGTCTAATAATGAGGTATCCTTACAATGGATTCGTAATGGAAACAGTAAAATTGTGTACGTACAAAACAGAGTCGCTGAAATTAATCAGATGCAAGAGAGGTATAATAGTTTGGGTCAGCATATGTTAACATTTAATCATATACCTGGTGAGGAGAATCCAGCTGATTTCTTGTCTCGAGGTTTACCTTATGCTAAATTTGTAAATGCTGTATCATGGTTTAAAGGACCGAGCTGGTTGGTAAATAAAGCTAATTGGCCTGTACAAAAGGCGTATATTGCTCCTGTTGAAATTACTGTGACCACTGCTCCAATAGTTTGTCCTTCCTTAGCCATTGATATAAATAGGTATTCTTCTTTACCCAAACTAATCAATGTAACTAAGTTGGTGTTTAAATTTCTAAACAAGATGAATATTTCATTTTAAGTTTTCACATCCTCTTGAATATTGGATGAAGAGGGTACAGGAAGAAATCTATGGAAATGAGATTAAATTGATGATGGAAAGAAAAATTGTGAAAGGTTCCATAGTAGAGAAATTGAGGCTGTATTTAGAGAACAGTGTAATTAGGTGCAGAGGTAGGTTACAAAATGCTGAATTGGGTGATTATGCTAAACACCCTATCTTACTGCCCAAAACTCATCATCTAACAAATTTAATTGTTCTAAATGCCCATAAAAATGTAATGCATGGTGGGGTACAAGATACCTTAAATTGTATTAGGGAAACTTTCTGGATTCCACAAGGACGGCAAAGTGTAAAAAGGGTGATTAAATCTTGTGTAATATGTCGCCGTGTGGATGCCAGATCCTATATGTACCCAGGTCCTCCACCATTGCCAAAGGAGCATGTACAATTAGTGAAACCATTTGATGTAACAGGTGTAGACTTAGTGGTCCAATAATTTTAAACAGTACTTCAGATGGTGTTCCACTGAAAGTGTATGTTTGATGTTCACCTGTACTGCTACTAGGGCAGTTCATTTAGAAGTGGCACAGGACTTGTCTGCAGAACAGTTTATACAGCAGTTTCGAAATTTGCAGCTAGGAGATCCTGTCCGAGGTTGATGATTTCGGATAATGCCACAAATTTTGTAGCAGGTGCTCAACACTTGATATAATAAATAATATAACGATGTTCAATCTCTGTTAACCCAGCGAGGGTGTACCTGGAAATTTATTACTCCTAGAGCCCCTTGGCAGGGGGGGGCTGTACGAAAGACTGATAGGCACAGTAAAGAGTGTGTCTCCGCAAAGTACTACAACCGGAAGAGAATTAATTTGGAAGAATTCCGTGCAGTTTAGTGGAGGCGGGAGAATCGTATAAATAATCGCCTCTCTCGTACATGAGTGATACACCTATGCAGATGTAATAACACCTTCTCACCTAATATGTGGAAGGAAATTGGAAGCTGCCCTGTCTATAGAGATAATCCGGAAGAAAGTGATGAAGATTACAATGATGCGGCAGTGTTGTGTGATAAATTTAAAATGTTTAAATAAAGTAATTGATCATTGGTCTAATGTGTGGCGTAAGGAATATCTTCTTACACTACGTGAACACTTTTATGGTGCGACCGAGGCAGTAAATCGACAGACCATTCAACCAGGTGACATTGTATTAATTGACACTGAACAACATCGAACATTGTGGCCTCTGGGCAAAGTATTGACATTGTACCCAGATGCACAAGATGTTGTCAGGAATGTCAAAGTGTTGTGTCATGGCCAGGAAAGTTTACACACAATTAATAAATTGATTCCCTTGGAATTAGGTGCTCAATCAAATGTAAATGAAAATCTGAGGGAAAGTGACACGAGTGATATGGAAGATAACGCTGACCAAATGATGCCGGAAGATGAAATCGTAGTAAGACCTACTAGGAGAACAGCCACTCAAGCCAGAACTGGCTTGAATCATCTCCTAAAGGAAGGAGTAATTTGAGTCGTTTAGCAACGAACTCCGCCCGGCCGCAGTGTGGAAAATACTGTATATATTTTCCGGATTATTATTATTATTATAATCAAGAGGGAAGCGCTAAACCCGGAGTATTTTCCAGAAATTCAGTATTTATATGTATATAGATTGCCATACTGTATTTAATAACATTTATGTCATAGAAAATGGGAAACTGAGCATGGTGAGAAGAGTCAGTCACCATTTTGTTTGAATTTGGATTAGAAACGTTGTTGTAATGGGAAGAATTTTTCGTGCTCTAGAGGTTAAAATTGGGCTGACACCTCTCAAATAGGAGACGAAATTGTTGGATGTGCATTCCTGCATAACTTGAGATATCAGGCGACCGGACAAGACAGCTCCAGGAATCTCAGATAAGTCTTACGTAGTAACCTGGCCAGTGTTATTTTCATAGATAGACAGTGAGGTTTTCTGAGTATGATACACATTAATCTCCAGTCAAATTGGTGAGTGATATTAAGATATTCTCCTTCTGTTATGTATATGTATATATATATAATCATTTATTATTTTTTAATATACAGTCCACAAATTTAGATATTTACCAGCATTCCTGGTGATGTATATTTCATTTAATTAATAGGTCCAGAGCAACTTGTGGATATGACAGTGGTAGGTATCGAAGGGGGACATTTTTTGCGACCTAGGTGTCCCAAATTCCTACTTGTCTAACTGATAAATAATAATTATCTATGTTCATTTACTGTTATGTATATAATGATACATTCAGATAAATGCAATTTTCCACAATGACATACCATACAGATATGTTGATGAATAACATATCTATGTCACACCTGGGTATCTTTATTGATGAACAAGACTCTTTCGCTATTCCTGGGTGTCCTTATTGATGAGATATTTCAGTTTCTTAACTTTTATAGGCCAAGACTAAGCGACTGAATATCTTCTGTCAAGACTATAATTATTTTTTCACTTCTTCCACTGTCTCTGGTGTAATAGTTACTTTTAGTGAAAAATAAATATGTACCATTTCAAATATTAATTCATAAGTGTTCTTACAGAAAAAGGATACAAATGAAATTCGAAAAAAAAAATAAATAATTACTGGTAGGGAACACAGATCAAAGACTCTGGCTAAGAAGTCAGGATAACAATGAGGTTAACGAACCACGCAAGATCAGGTCACTAGGGACATGGTCTTCAGACAAAATGATAAGCAAACAGGTCACGGCTCTGATCAGCTATGTTTATGTAAGGAATGTAAGGAGGAACTTAGTAAACCCATGGCCAGTCTCCCCAAGAATTCTCTACAAACGGTTATAGTGATCGATAAATGGAAAAATGACAAATGTGATATCCATTTAATTGGAGGGATATAACACCTTTGCTGCAAATATCAGAACATTTATTCTAAACTATAAAGGGACGCACTCGTTTCAAGTACACTGTAATCTCTAAGTTTGGGTTATCAGTTGTCCTTACTAAGGTGTAATTATCATAGTCAAGACAGGCTTGCTTATGATAAGATATTTACGAGGTACTTTCAAGCGAACCACTAACTGAGTCATTTGGCTGGTGCCTCGAGACAGATGAATGGAAATATGAGTGACTGATGTATATTTATTATTATTTTTAACCAGGAGGGTAAAGGATAAACACATATGGGTTATATAACGCCTAGGAAGGTTGTAGTTAAAAGACGCTGGAAGTCACGAAAGGGGAAAAAAGAAGGAAGGCGAAGACGAAATGGAAGTGGAGTGGGGAAGGAAGAGGCGAAGAAGGAAAGAAGACAAGCAGGATAAAATTAAGAACGCATGAGGAAGAGGAAATTCTCACCTTGTCTAGGTAGACATGATTGGGACCGCCACCTACAATGAAGTAGAAGATAACACACAGAAAGTTAGACAACGCACTTGCTCCACACACAGTTGATGTGACCCTCATTGAATGGTAGGTGAGAGGCAGCAATTCGAAGACTCCAGCGTGCTGGAGACTCTCCTGCAACATATACCAGATGTTAGACTCTCCATCCTGAGACTCTTAAGCTGATGATTAACATTAGAAATAAAGACTACATATTTCAATGGGCATTCAAAATACATGAAGATTAAGATTAGATTTTGCCACCAAAGTGGCTAGTTTGTGCACCCCATATCCATACTGTGGACGGTAGCGCAACAGCATATGGATACACAAAAGGCCTGGGAACTAGGCCCCAAAAGGGTTAACAGGTATACATTTGGATTTATATCTACAGTTCACTTATCTGTTACAAGCAAATTTAGGAAATTTCCTAAGTATATCCGGCATCTTATTTTCATTAAGATATCTTGACATGTCGCATAGGTCATTATACTATCTCTATATTCCTTAATAAGTGGACAATTAAGCACATAGTGTTCAAGATGACCATATGCCTGACCACATATTTTCCATTTGGTTTGATCATCTGTGTCTCCCAAACTGCCAGAAGTACTTGTAACCAAGCCTAAGTCTGGCCACTACAACATCAGTCACTCTGTTCACATTGCAAGTTCCTCACACATGAAGAATTGCAATTATCACATGCACCTGTATACTTCAGTCACGAGTAGTTGATCAATAAGTTATTACATATTTATATAAGAGACGGATTTCAGTTAATCATATTCTGATTGGAGTTTTAAGTTTACTGGTGCGTAGGCTTCTAGTGTATAGAAGTGTGTCCCCCAGACATGAAATAAATGAATTTGTATTACAATACATACTGCAAACTACATTATTTATTTACAATTTTAGGCTCAAATTATCATTTTGGATTTTGATATGTAATGTGTAAATGGTGTGGTAGCGGCTAATTATGGTTAATATATAAGTAGCATAACATTATCTGTTATACGGTTTTCACATACAGTATGTGAGTTGTAAGGCTCACCTCCAACATATGTTAGGTGGTTCCAGTGACGGCTAGAACATGGTGTTACGTTCTTGGTATACTCTTAATATAGTTTTACATACCTGTCATGCATTCACTACGATCTTACATTCTGGGTGTGCTTCAGTCTTGGTCTACATCGCGTATTTTTCACGTGATATTGTATACATAAGAACATAAAAAAGAAGGAACACTGCAACAGACCTACTGGCCTGTGTGAGGCAGGTCCAGTTCTCTCACTGGCTTAAGCAAATGCCTTGACCTAGTGAGTATGTATGTATGTATAATGTTCGCCAAGACCGTAGTCCTGGCACGGGTCTCAATCTTGCGATGACCCGTCTCTGGCTCCCGAGGGAGAAAGCTTTCTACAATGATGCGACACATGCTGCTCAAGCACTCTTCTGGTCAGTTCATCTGGTACATCTCATAATCGACAACACTGTATGTACTCCTAACTGTGGACACTAGCGAGGAGGAGGATATGTCGTTATCACGGGCAACAGTTTGTCTGGTTCGTTGACTCCATGGTACACTAGTGTGGCCGCAGTCATCTCTGGGTCCTCTTCGGGAGGGGATATCAATGCTAGTTGCCTGCGGAGTGTCTCAGTAACTTCACACTTCAGAAGATAGTGTGTTAGGGGGCGCTGGACAACGTGCTGACAGTACTGGCACATCTCCTCAGCCTTGTCTACCATCATCTTGGCTGTGGGAAAGCCCAAACGAAGCCGATGGATGGCGGTACACTGCACCCTGGACCAGCTTCTATCATATGGAGGGGGTTCTCCCTGAGTCGCTGCTCGGTACCACTGTTGAGATGGGGTATCACCTAAGACCTCCCCCATAAGTTTCATGGCTCTGGCAGTCATCAGTTTGGTCTGTCGTAGGCTGATGGGGACAGTAATCCCAACATGTGGATACTCTGTGGCTGCCTTGGCTGCATCATCTGCAGCCTCATTTCCCCGGATGCCAGCATGGCTGGGGATCCAGTTCAATGTCGATCTGTTACCCTGAACCTCTAAGGCTGTCATTATTCTCAGGATCGATGTGATGAGGTGAACATTGTCCTGTGGTTGAAGATGGGAGAGGGCATTGATTGCAGAGGTGGAGTCAAAGTGTATGACAGGTCGGAGTCGATGTCGTAGGGCATGTGACAATGTCTGATGAATCGCCACCAGCTCAGCTTGAAGGATCGTGCAGTGGTCAGGGAGTCGCCAGCCTTGTGTGTGACCATTGTGGTACAGTTCAGCTGCTGCTCTCTTCCTGTCAGGGTCGACAGAACCATTTGTGAAATACACTGCACATGTGCGTCCCTCTGCCAGTGCCATGCTTGTTTCAGCATGATTGTTGAGGGTGTCTTGACTGCAGAGACGCTTAGAGATAGGCAGTTGCATGACGCAAACATCGGCCTGATCTGGGCGCCAGGGAGGTGGTGGATGATACCCAGCAACAGGAAGGTCACAACTCTTCTCAAGGAGTAGTTGTATAGACAGCAGCTTTCGCCTAGCAGTACAAAACGAACGAATCCAGGAGTAGTCCGTGAAGAGAGTTGGATCTTGTGTCATGGTTATCAATATCCGTCTTCTTAGTGGGGTACCTTGCTGCCGATGCAGAATCGCGGCTACTTTGCAGGCGTTTATGTATCTTACTCTGTCAGCCAGGGAAGGAAGCCGGGCCTCAGATCTGAGACATGTTGTGTTGGTCCAGATGGGGGCCTCAAGCATAGTTCTTATCGCCTGGTTTTGTACGACCTCCACCCTTTGCCTGCTCTGCGGGAAGAGATGAGCTAACGCTGGTGCACCGTAGTCAATGAGCGAGCGTATAGCTGGTAAATAGTACAAGCGAAGTACATTTTTGCTCGCCCCTGCATGGTGCCTCGTCATGGCTCTCATGGCGTTGAGTCTGAGTAGAGCACGTGACCTGACATACTCGGCCTGTTTCTGAAAGGTCAGCTTTTTATCACCTAGTGACGTAGTGACGTGTCTGACCTAGTGAGGTCAGACACGTCACTTAAGGTATTATTATTATTATTATTATTATAATCAAAAAGAAGCGCTAAGCCACAAGGACTATACAGCATCACTTAAGGGAGAACCACGGCGTCTGACCTAGCAGCACAAGCTAGTCAGGTCAAACTCACACCCACCCACACCCATTCATGCATTTATCCAACCTATTTTTAAAACTACACAACGTCTTAGCCTCTATGACGGTACTCGGGAGTTTGTTCCACTCATCCACAACTCTATTACCAAACCAGTGCTTTTCTATATCCTTTCTGAAACTGATTTTTTCCAATTTAAAACCACTGCTGCGAGTTCTGTCTAAGTTAGATATTTTTAGCACGCTATTTACATCCTCTTTATTAATTCTTGTTTTCCATTAATATACCTCAGTCATATCCCCCGTAATTCTACCCCTCTCTAGAGAGTGCAGATTCAGGGCTCTCAGTCTATCCTCATAGGGAAGACTTCTGATACGTGGGATTAACTTTGTCATCCTCCTTTGTACATTTTCCAGTGCATTTATATCCATTCTGTAATACGGTGACCAAAACTACACAGCATAGTCTAAATGAGGCCTAACCAAGGATATATAGAGTTGAAGAACAACCCGAGGACTTCTATTATTTATACTTCCTGCTATGAAGCCAAGGATTCTGTTAGCTTTATTGCGAACACTTATGCACTGTTGTCCTGGATTCACATTACTACTAACCAGAACTCCTAAACTTTTTGCGCAATCCGTAACATTAAGATGTACATTATTTAGTTTATATGTGGCATGGTTATTATCCTGTCCAACATTTAGAGCTTTGCATTTGTCTATATTAAACTGCATCTGCCACTTCTCCGACCGCTGCATCAGTCTATTCAAATCATCCTGGAATACTCTAGTGTCCTCATTAGAATGAATTGGACGGCCTATTTTGGTGTCATCAGCAAATTTGCTTATGTAGCTATTTATTCCCTCTTCTATGTCGTTTATGTAAATTATGAACAACAACGGGCCCATCACTGACCCCTGAGGAACACCGCTTGTGACGTGCCCCCATTCTCATTTCTCCCCATTTATGCAAAACTCTCTGCTGCCTATTTGTCAACCATGCCTCTACCCAGGAAAAAAATTCTCCTCCTATTCCGTGACATACTTTCATTATGTTTTTACATATAGGTAGGTTGAGATTTCACCTGTCACTTAAACAGAATGTACATATGTTTCCATGCTTTGCTGAAAAGATCCATAGATGAAAGCTGAAAAATTCAACTCGTCTGTCTCATTACTACTCCTCCAGTGTGTTTATAATGGCACTGTTCAGTGTGTTACTATACTTTGTTTTTAAAGAGTTCAACCAGGGTTAGACCAAAAGTTCATGCATACATTCCTCCCAGTAATATAATATTACAGACAAGTTTATAGGTGTGTACGTACATCGATGACATTGGCGATAGGTGAGATTAATCCCATGGGGACGTGTCGGCCTCTTACGTATGAAGCGGGTGCTAGGGCAGCCATCACTCGTATCTGAGAGAAAAACAACACAGTTGGTGACTGAAGTGTGAGTGTATATGCACAGTGTTGTGTTGATGAGACAAGTGTGTAAGTTTAATAAGGCACAGGAACATGTAAGTGCAATTATCATAGTGTAAATTACCTAGGATAACCCAAAACAGTCAGACAAAATGACTTATTTCCATTGGGGTCCTTGTCATTATTTATTGGTTAAACCTGAAAAGCTAAAACAGCTAAGTAACTCAACTGTGTGAAAATCAGTTACAATATACTAAGAGTAAGTTAACTGAATACTAACGAAATTGTGTTGGTAGGACAAGTGTGGCACTAGATTCACAGAGTTGTGTTGGTGGGGCAAGTGTTGTTTGTGTTCTCATGTAGTATACCCTCAAGAACGGTAACAGATAAATTGATAATCAACAGGGACATACTCACAGTACCCAACTATAATCCACCCCACTATAATCTACCTTGTCAATAATTACTATCGCATTTGCTTTGTGTTTCGTAAGGTGAAGTCCAGGATCTTTCCTTAATTCACGATATAACTTAACAAATCTTTGTAGAGGTCTGAATTGTGCTCAGACCTCTACAACACGGAGGAACTTACGTGCTCGTTAACTAGCCCAACAGCAAATCAATTGAAACCTACTGTTACACTACAGAAATCAGCTTTAGAATAACCACTTAATCAGATTTCAATCAATAAACATTTCCATCCGCCTTATAAAACATTCACAGCTACTATTGTGCGTTTTATATAAACAGGACACTGTCCGAATTTGAACCCAGGTATCAAACTCTTCCTGGAGAGCTGCAACAGGACACACAGACCGTGGCTTGGTTGTCAACTAACTCCTCTCACATACTAAGTATCCGTGGTTCGATCCTCGGCAATGGTGGAAACAATGGGCATGTTTTCTTGATAAATTAGACACATGTGCAATTCTTGAGTATCTTTATTGAGGAAACGTTTCGCCACACAGTGGCTTCACATTGGATAAATGTCACACCACCTACGACTGCTGCACCTCTCCTACCTACGTATATAAGCTACTTCTCTGCACATATGCTGTATTCTATTCAAGATTGATGGACTGACCACAACGACTCAAGGTTGAGGGACTGATTACCTCATTCTCCCCCTGTTCTTCATGTTTCTCCTTTGTATAGACTGATGAAGCCACTGTGTGGCGAAACGTTTCCTCAATAAAGATACCCAAGAGTTGCACATGTGTCTAATTTATCAACGTATCGGTTCTCTGAACCATTCATCTACATATTTCCTTACACCTGCTGTCCTCGTTCATCTAGGTATCGGGGTATCAGTCAACGGTTGTGGGTCGCATCTTGGGGGAAGGGGTAGTATACCTTAGATAGGGCTGGGCTTTGAAGTAAGCTAAGGAAGAATAGCAGGTGATAAATTAGACACATGTGCAACTCTTGGGAATCTTTATTGAGGAAAGAGTTGCACATGTGTCTAATTTATCAACATGTCGGTTCTCTGAACCATTCATCTACAGAATAGCAGGTCTTAGACTGTAAAATTGAACTATATAAATAAATTATAAGAAACAAGTACATTATTCACGTACCACCCGTTCGATTCAACTTATCTAAGAACGCCATGCGAATAAAAGAACCTAAAATTTGGAACTCCCTTACAGAGGAAACGCAAAAAAAATGACCGTTCCTGTTTCAGAAATATAAAAAAGTACCTCCTTCGTCTGACCTTTATTTAGACTAATTTAAGTCCAGTAAATAAACATAAACCCTACATTTCTATACATTAACATTGTTTTCACTCTGAGCATTATATTTCATTATATTTTCATTATATTTCACCACTAGTCAATTTTATATAAAAAATAATAAAAATCCCAAAATGTCACAAATCGTAAACCGAACCTGTTAATGTCAAAGATTACAAACTATAACGTTCATGTAAACTGAATTAATTAACTGTTCAGTAGTTATAAATTAAAGGCTCCTAGAAATGCTTTCCATAATGATAGACTTTCAATAAATAGGCTGAAAACGTCAGCCAATCCTGTATCAGTTGTATATTGTACTTTTAGAAATAAATTAGACACATGTGCAACTCTTGGGTATCTTTATTGAGGAAACGTTTCGCCACACAGTGGCTTCATCAGTCCATACAAAGGAGAAACGTGATGAACAGGAGGAGAATGATGTAATCAGTCCCTCAACCTTGAATCGATGTGGTCAGTCCATCAATCTTGAATAGAATACATAGAATACACTGCAACTTCTTGGGATCTTAATACTTGGGAATTCTTCGCTTGCCTAACCCTTAGACACGACCTATTTCCACATTGAACAAATGTGACACCACCTACGACTGCTGCTCCTCTCCTGCCTGCGGTATATAAGCTACTTCTCGGCACATATGCCGTATTCTGTTCTAGATTGATGGACTGACCACATCGACTTAAGGTTGAGAGACTGATTACCTCATTCTCCTCATGTCCTTCACGTTTCTCCTTTGCATGGACTGATGAAGCCACTGTGTGGCGAAACGTTTCCTCAATAAAGATACCCAAGAGTTGCACATGTGTCTAATTTATCAACGTATCGGTTCTCTGAACCATTCATCTACAACTTTTAGAAATATCATTACTATTATTATTATTATTATTATAACAAGAACTGCCAGGCTAATTACATGGATATGAATAATTTAATAATTCAGTTATTATTATGTTACAATTACTACATATTTCTGCGTTTATACACAGACATCCAGTACATACGAGGTTGTAACTTGTGGCGACGCTTCGGTCCAACTTGGATCATTAACTAGGTAATGGTCTAAGTTGGACCAAAACGTCGTCATAAGTTTCTTTCTCATATGTGCGGGTTATTTATGTGTTGTTCCAGTCAAGGTATTGTACGTTTTTGTTCCTCTGTGTTTATATTACTACAGAATGTTATAATTAGAACTATGTGGATTAATGCCATATAGATCTGTAATATGAATGTGTCAGTCCTTAAATTCTCAGCGAAACTTAATTGGTCCATCGTTATTTACAGTTTACTAGTTCTCTCAAATAAGCAAACATTGTATAAAATAGAGGTTTTGTGTGGGTTCACGACTGGGTAGGGTTAGTGGTCCCTCTCCACTCTAGGATAACTCAAATCAATGAGTACTCACCTTTATTATTGCACAGGAGGCAGTGTGGTTGTATCAGGCAGCTGCAGTGGTAATGTCTGGTCGTGGGTGACCACTTCTAACATGTGTATACACCTGAATGCATTCGGGATCTCGAGTACTTACGTGGAAGGCCGTGGGGGCACCTGAGAAGAATCAAGCAACTGCCTGGTCAGCTAGTGACTCCCTTGCCTGCAGTGGGTCGTATAGTATACGAATGGTAATTCACTGTGCAAGGTGAGTGTAGGGGAAGTTGCCCTACTCATTGCTGAAATGTGACTACCTGCCATTGGCTCAGACTACTCCGTTGGCACTTAAACTGGCTGGCTGAAGGTGTCTACAACCTATTTAATATATAAGTAGTGTACTACTACGTTAAGCTAAATGACTATCTCTAACTTAGCCTAAATAAATGTAGTATTAAGTAGTAATGGTAACCTAAAGAGCTATTAGGTAACTCTAAGAAATAAGTCTGTGTACAGGAGCTGGCACCTCATAGGAGTCGTTCCCCCCTTTTCCTAAATTCCCCCACCTGGGAGGTTGGTAAATCGTTCTGGGGTATCACAAAATTCCTCTCAAATATTATGTAATTATCCATGTGAGGAACCTTTGATTCTTTAATTGTTTTAATTAGAGTCCTCGTGAAAGTAACGTGGGTTTAGACCAGGTTAGCTTGCAGGATGCAACTGAGGGTGGATCGGTGGTAGGTCATCTAGGTTAGGTCAGGCTCGTCAGGAAACATGACAAGTGTTTCCTGACGTGGATCTTAGTCAGATGATGACCCGCCGTTGGAGCTTTTGGTCGTCTGACCGAGGCCTTTCACTGGCTCACCGGTTCACCCCTTTAAAAATTATAGCCATACTTATAACCACTTTTTTTTTAGTTAGGTCACCTTAGTAATGAAAGTGGTCTGTATTTCTTAATCTTAAATCGTAACACAATATATCGGAATTGCAGACACATGAAACAAGAATACAAAATGACCCACGCAACATAAGCTGGTGTACCTACCCAGGAGTTGATGTGTGGGTGGTAGTTCATCATGATAAAGAAGCCGGCGCCTCCCAGCGAGTGGCCGGCGTAGTAAACTTGCTTGACTCCCGTCACCTCGCGTACGTAACTCAGCATAGCTGGGATGTCGTAGCGCCCTACCTCGTTCCAGCTACACGAACATCATCATGATAATGATGGTGATTATAAAAAGAACATCAAAATAATATTATTATTTGCATGTTTTGGTATTAATAGTACTCGTGAAAGTAGCAGCAGCAGCAGAAGCGGTCGTAGTGATAGTAGTAACAGTAGAAGTGGTAGTAGTAGTGATGGTAGTGGTTGCAGTAGCAGCAGTAGTAGTAGTAAAAGTAGTAGTAATAGTATTTCTGCTATTAGTAACAGCTGAAGTAGAAGCTGAAGCCGTGTTAGTAATAGTTTAAATAGCAAAATTACTATTGTCTAGTTATTAGTAACACCGACAACAGTTAGTTAAATGTACACATGCAACAAGTGAGACATTAAGTTGCATCTGTCAGTTTAACCATTGCTACTACTACTATTATTTTAATTAGTGCTGTACGTCGAGTTGTAACTTTAAGTAATAGGATGACCGACAGCAACCAGTCAGGGAGGTACTTCTGTCCTCCAGATGACCGGCAGCAACCAGCCAGGGAGGTACTTCTGTCCTCCAGATGACCGGCAGCAACCAGTCAGGGAGGTACTTCTGTCCTCCAGATGACCGGCAGCAACCAGTCAGGGAGGTACTTCTGTCCTCCAGATGACCGGCAGCAACCAGCCAGGGAGGTACTTTTGTCCTCCAGATGACCAACAGCAACCAGCCAGGGAGGTACTTCTGTCCTCCAGATGACCGACAGCAACCAGCCAGGGAGGTACTTTTGTCCTCCAGATGACCGGCAGCAACCAGCCAGGGAGGTACTTCTGTCCTCCAGATGACCGGCAGCAACCAGCCAGGGAGGTACTTTTGTCCTCCAGATGACCGGCAGCAACCAGCCAGGGAGGTACTTCTGTCCTCCAGATGACCAACAGCAACCAGCCAGGGAGGTACTTCTGTCCTCCAGATGACCGGCAGCAACCAGCCAGGGAGGTACTTCTGTCCTCCAGATGACCGACAGCAACCAGCCAGGGAGGTACTTCTGTCCTCCAGATGACCGACAGCAACCAGTCAAGGAGGTACTTCTGTCCTCCAGATGACAGACAGCAACCAGCCAGGGAGGTATTTCTGTCCTCCAGATGACCGACAGCAACCAGCCAGAGAGGTACTTCTGTCCTCCAGATGACCGACAACAACCAGCCAGGGAGGTACTTCCTCCAGATGACCGACAGTAACCAGCCAGGGAGATACTTCTGTCCTCCAGATGACCGACAACAACCAGCCAGGGAGGTACTTCCTCCAGATGACCGACAGCAACCAGCCAGGGAGGTACTTCTGTCCTCCAGGTGACCGACAGTAACCAGCCAGGGAGATACTTCTGTCCTCCAGATGACCGACAGCAACCAGCCAGGGAGGTACTTCTGTCCTCCAGATGAGTGTGTAACAAAAATGGCACTTGTATCTATGGTGCTATATTAAGCTGACCTAATATGTCTGGATCCAGTTTCCCAAAAATATTTACCTCACTTTCTGCCTGACTAACCCGTTCAACAGCAAGTTGTAACCATCAACTGCAACCAAAAATCAAGACTGATCAAAATTAGGAGTTTGAGGTAATCATTCCCTCAGCCTGGAACCGATGTCATCAATCCATCAATCTTGATGAATACAGCATATGTGCAGAGAATGAGCTTGTATATCGTAGATAGGTGAGGTGAAGCAGTCGTAGGCGGTGTCACCTGAACCATTTACCTACGAGGCAATCATATTATGGCTTCTGTGTGGACACACTTGCCATGGCATCTGAAGCATGCATTGGGCTGGCGAAGTGCATGTGCATGAAAGGCAGTGGTAGGACACGTACATACGTGAAGGCTCAGTCGAAGTGTACGTATCTTTTTGCGGATGTAAGTGTATTAGAGACAACGGAGAAGCATCAACATGCACAGTTACGTCCTACAACCAGATTTCGTCAATGTAATGTCTTGGTAAATTGTGCTGTTTAATTGGTCTATCAGTCAGCACAGAAGCTACAAGGTATTTGTGACACATGAGACCTACTATACCATCTTGTTAATTTTGTAAATTTTGGTGATTAGTTTCTTTAATTGCTAACATCCTGCATAATTTAATTTTACAGTGATCAAGTTTGTTTTTAATTAAATATATTATGCCAATAAATGCTTCACAAATTTCAGAAATTTTTGGTCCACAGCAAAACATTTAGAAGTAAAATAGTCCAAAGAGCCCTAGAAAATACGTTGCTTTTATCAAGTGTCCCCATATCTTGATTAAGTCGTCTGACTAACACCCTGACTATAAGATCCATCCAGTTAAGTATTGACATGCCTGTGACTGGTTTCAAGAATTTTACTATTGTTGCCCAGTATGAATCCAGGCTTCCTGCGTTACCACCTGAATTCATTGTAAATAAGACGCGGAACATTTCGGAATCTTTATTCTGGAAACGTTTCGCCACACAGTGGTTTCTTCAGTCCAATGCTATACCTGACACAGCAACATCTTGGGATCTTGATGCAGGGATTTCTCCAAAATTGTCTAGCCTACAGACACGATCTACTTCCACTAGTGCCTTTGTCCACTGGTGACTCCGTCTACCACTGCTCCGCCTCATCTGTCATCAGTATATATGCCCAGTCTCCACGAATATGCTGCACTTTTATCAAGATTGATGGACTGAATACATCGATTCTAGACTGAGGGACTGATTACCTCGAACTCCTTATCTTCCACATTTCTCTGCATTGGACTGAAGAAGTCACTGTGTGGCGAAACGTTTCCAGAATAAAGATTCCTAAATGTTGCACAAGTGTCTCATTTATCAACTTGTCGGTTTTTTAAACCATTTATACACATCATTGTAATTAGCCCAGTAACAGGAGGGTAAGATTCAGTTCATAGTGCTGTGGTTTTCAGGCAATAGTATTAAATGAGGAATTAGACACATGTGCAACATGTGCAACATGTGCAAAATGTGTCACATGTGCAACATGGTGAAGAGCAACTCCAAAGCTGAGGGACTGATTACCCCATTTGAATATATTTCTTCACATTGTGACCTTACCTTGTATTGTACTTATAAAGGCACTGGAGGGAGAAACGTCTACAAATAAAGATACCCAGATGTTGTACATGTGTCTAATTCCTCACCTTGTCGGTACTGTCTACCATTTACGTACAAAAGCATTAAATAAATCTGATATGCTCAGTATGTGCTTATCTGGGAGAAAGCTGCTGGGGTTTTTATGACAAAAATGTAAACATTGCCGAGGTGATGTGTTAGTGTAACATTAGTTGGTATAAACCTTGGTAAAAAATCCCGACAAGTTTTTTTTTAAAAAAAGCCCGTAAGAAAACATTAACTATTTATTAGAAAAAGTTTCGGCCCGGGGCCCTTGATCATTCTAACAAAAAAAAATAGTTATAGTGTTTGTTACGTGTTTTTTAAAACCAAATTAGTGTAACATAGTACGTATATTTGCAAAAGTGAATGTAGGAAAAAAAAATTTTTAAAAATTTTACAGCAAATTTTTTTTTAAATTTAGTTATATTAAAGAGTTTTATTTTAATACCCCTTTATTACTTTATTGAGAAAAAAAATTAATTCTTCAAAATAGTGGTTATTTAGCTATTTCCCTCTTTAAATAGAAGCTATTTAGAAAAGGTAAATTGCCAAAAAGAGACATGGAAAAAATGCTAGTTATTTTCCTAAATTTTCAGATTTTGCTACCCACCTGAAGTCCCGGGAATTGGGTTGTCGGGGGAGTGAGTTAACGTGACTTTTCCCGTAAAAAATTTTCCCCTTGTGTTGCCAACCCAAAATCGTCCCCCTTGTCGGCCAATATAAAGGGACAGAAAAACGTTTTTTAACTGTGTTTTTTAAAGAACGAAAAAGAGGAAAAACGCGCAGGTAGTGTTGAACCTTTCTCCTTTTCATTGCTCTCAAGGAAAAAAAGCTTTGATAATCGTAACTCGGTTCAGTCCCACTCAGTCAATCCCTCCCCCCATTATTTTTCAACTTTTTTTAAAGGGTTTGTCTAGGGAAATTTGGTGTAAATTGCTGGCTGACAGATACTGCAAGGAACTTGAAACCCATTTTTGCAACTGGAACAATTTTTTATGGCAAGATGTTTTGTATGAAAGGGATGGGGTACTCTCTTGGGGCTGGGGGGGTAGCATTGCAGTAAATTGAGAAGGCCATTGGTGAAATCCCTTTATGATTTTAAAGGGTGAAGTAGAGGTTGGGTGTGTGTGGGAAAAAAGCAGGTTAAAACATTTGGGGTTTGGAAACAGTAAATGATAAAAGGCATCCAGCATAAAGTTATAAAAAAAGACAAAAAAATAGGTCAGAAACCCAAAGGGGGCAGCGAGGACAGCAAGGACTAGTCCCTTAAGGTTTACTATACTAATAGCAGGGTGTAAAAAATTAAGATAGATGAGTAGATTTTTGCAAGGCAGGAAAATAGATTTATTGCTAAAAAAACAGGCCCTGGCTAATCTGAAAGATAGAGGTGCCCTCTGAATGCACATACAAGGCTTAAAAAATTCCACATGACAGGGTAACAGGAAAGGGGGTGGAGAAGCGATGTATGTCAGAGACAATTTTAATTTTTTTGTGTTAGACAAATATAAAGTAGAAGGTCAGCCACTGAATCGTTTGGTTACGTTCTCGAGGGCGAGAAAACTAATTTTGGGTTGTGATTTACGGGCCCCAATCTTTTAAGGGAGTGCAGTAAACTTCTAGGGACGAAATTGTAAAGGGATCTCATACGAAAATGTTTTGGTAATGGGAGATTTCAACTATAGACAGATTGATGGAGCAATTTGAAGGAAATTTAGAGTAGGTGCGTTTTGTACGTCCAGGATTTTTTTTAAAACGTTTTTGAAAGCAACTAGGTTGGGTTCTTGCCAGTGGGAAACACTAATTATAACTTGAGGTTAATGTGAGTTGGGGAAAGTGATCAAAACACTCGTTTTAATATATCATGGAATTCCCCCAATAATGACAATAAGTCTCCGTCCCCGACTTTCGCTTGGTGTTTCAAGGACTGAAAAATTTCTTAGGTGGGGTTTAAAAATGGAATGGACCTGACTAAGGGGCAGGTAGGTGGTGGGTTGCCCATATGATGCTTTTCCCGGGATGTTCTAGCTGCTCAGTCAAATTTTGTTCCAAATAGGGAAATCGTCAAACAAAAATGATCCCTAAATGGATGAACAATGTTAAAAAAATCTGTTGGTCAAAAGAGAGGCATATATGGCAAATCAAAAAAAAGGGGGGGGCAGTTAAGAAATCGATATATTCAGTTAAAGAGAGAAATAAAAAAGGGAATTAGAAAAGCAAAAAGAGATTATGAGGTTAAAGTTGCAAGAGAATCGAAGACTAACCCAAAAGGATTCTTTCAGGTATACAGAAGTAAGATCAGGGACAAGATAGGCCCACTCAAAAGTTCCTCGGGTCAGCTCACTGACAGTGATAAGGAAATGTGTAGAATTTTTAACACATACTTCCTCTCAGTTTTTACACAGGAGGATACCAGCGATATTCCGGAAATGATAAATTAAGTAGAACAGGACGATAATAAACTGCGCACGATTAGGGTCACAAGTGACATGGTCCTTAGGCAAATAGATAAATTAAAACCTAACAAATCCCCAGGCCCTGATGAACTGTATGCAAGGGTTCTAAAGGAATGTAAAGAGGAGCTTAGCAAACCTTTGGCTAATCTTTTCAACATATCACTACAAACTGGCATGGTGCCAGATAAGTGGAAAATGGCAAATGTGATACCTATTTTCAAAGCAGGTGACAGGCCCTTAGCTTCGAACTATAGACCAATAAGCCTAACCTCCATAGTGGGAAAATTTATGGAATCAATAATTGCCGAGGCAGTTCGTAGCCACCTTGAAAAGCATAAATTAATCAACGAATCTCAGCATGGTTTTACAAAGGGGCGTTCCTGCCTTAAGAATTTATTAACTTTTTTTCACTAAGGTATTTGAGGAGGTAGATCATGGTAATGAATATGATATTGTGTATATGGACTTCAGTAAGGCTTTTGACAGGGTCCCACATCAGAGACTATTGAGGAAAATTAAGGCACATGGAATAGGAGGAGAAATTTTTTCCTGGATAGAGGCATGGTTGACAAATAGGCAGCAGAGAGTTTGCATAAATGGGGAGAAATCAGAGTGGGGAAGCGTCACGAGCGGTGTTCCACAGGGGTCAGTGTTGGGCCCCCCGCTGTTCACAATCTACATAAACGACATAGATGAGGGCATAAAGAGCGACATCGGCAAGTTTGCCGATGACACCAAAATAGGCCGTCGAATTCATTCTGACGAGGACATTAGAGCACTCCAGGAAGATTTGAATAGACTGATGCAGTGGTCGGAGAAGTGGCAGATGCAGTTTAATATAGACAAATGCAAAGTTCTAAATGTTGGACAGGACAATAACCATGCCACATATAAACTAAATAATGTAGATCTTAATATTACGGATTGCGAAAAAGATTTAGGAGTTCTGGTTAGCAGTAATCTGAAACCAAGACAACAGTGCATAAGTGTTCGCAATAAAGCTAACAGAATCCTTGGCTTCATATCAAGAAGCATAAATAATAGGAGTCCTCAGGTTGTTCTTCAACTCTATACATCCTTGGTTAGGCCTCATTTAGATTATGCTGCACAGTTTTAGCCACCGTATTACAGAATGGATATAAATGCTCTGGAAAATGTACAAAGGAGGATGACAAAGTTGATCCCATGTATCAGAAACCTTCCCTATGAGGATAGACTAAGGGCCCTGAATCTGCACTCTCTAGAAAGACGTAGAATTAGGGGGGATATGATTGAGGTGTATAAATGGAAGACAGGAATAAATAAAGGGGATGTAAATAGTGTGCTGAAAATATCTAGCCTAAACAGGACTCGCAGCAATGGTTTCAAGTTGGAAAAATTCAGATTCAGGAAGGATATAGGAAAGTACTGGTTTGGTAATAGATTTGTGGATGAGTGGAACAAACTCCCAAGTACAGTTATAGAGGCCAGAACGTTGTGTTGTTTTAAAAATAGGTTGGATAAATACATGAGTGGATGTTGGTGGGTGTGAGTTGGACCTGATAGCTTGAGCTACCAGGTCGGTTGCCGTGTTCCTCCCTTAAGTCAATGTGACCTGACCTGACTAGGTTGGGTGCATTGGCTTAAGCCGGTAGGAGACTTGGACCTGCCTCGCATGGGCCAGTAGGCCTTCTGCAGTGTTCCTTCGTTCTTATGTTCTTATTAATGTTGGTAGAATTACCGGCGATATGTTAGGTAAAAGGACACAAGTGCAACTAATGGGACATTTTATTGTGGCAACGTTTCGCTCTCCAGGAGCTCCTGGAGAGCGAAACGTTGCCACAATTACATGTCACATTAGTTGCACTTGTGTCTTTTTACTTAACGTATTGTCAGTAATTCTTCCAACATTAATTTTATCATGGTTGTACGTCTATTGCTTGGCTTTACTGTAGCATATATTTAAACTTTTATAATTTCATGGTTACAAGTAGTCGTCCGAGTTTCCTTTCTCATGAAAACATTGAGACGTCCTCTACAAGTAATAAGTCAATTGCTGACGGAGAACAGTTGAATGGCAGCGACGGCGTTAACAGAGGCAGTGAGCAATGTGGAGATGATCTGAGGATAGTTCCAGGGCAATGTGTTGCCATGACTATTACAAATCTCAGATTATTGCGCTGAGTGTATCTCAAACAGATATACATAGAAAAGTGAGGTAACTTCGTTCCTTGCAAGCTGTATTTAGTTTTCAGTAACACTGTTTACTCCGTGGGCTAACTAAAAATTCTAAGAAAATAGAGCTTGATATATGCCATGGAAGGACTAAAGACTTCCAGGCCAGCGTGCTGGAACACTGCCGTCTAAGAAATGATCTGTAATCAGAAGTTGTCTTTGGGCGTCTAGCCTCTGTCAGTGACATTCACGTTGCTGATGCATTATATCGTCAACAGTGTACCAGCAATTGTAGGACTGGAAAAAATGTCGCTATCAAATATTGCATGAGTGACTCAGAGTAAGTTTAAGGTCGGGAAAGGAGGGGCGCCGGCAGATAGGAAAAATCTGAAGCCTTTCACAAAGTAGTTAAATACTTAGAACAATATAATGATCAACAGACAATTGTAAATCATCTGGTACAGAATATGAAAGAATATCTTAAAAATAGAGATCAAGGGCCATATGGAGCTCAACATATGAAAAAGAATCTTGAGTCTTTCGGTGATGGTTCCTTCAATTAATGCAGTCTGTGATTACAGTAGGAAATAGAACCACCAACAGTCATAAAATGGGAAAATGACTATAAGGGAAACAGCTGTCAAGCTCATTGTCATTGACATAAAGCCCTTGGGAAGTGGCACATGTTTATTCTACGAGCGATGACACCAACAGCATTGACTCAAGCCTAGAGTACCTTCCACTGACAATAAGGATCTTCTTGAAAAATGCATTTCCTGGGAGTAACAGACCTGAAAGTGGCATCAGCTGGGCAAGCTACAATACAGGCAGTTCGCTCAGGAGTTCCCCTTGTTCTTCTGCTACTTAAGCTTAGCATCCAGATACACCACCGCCTTCGTTAGCAGTTTTTAGTGGACATCCTCTTTGAGAATAGATTTTCTTGCTCCTACATAAATGTACAGAGGTATGAGTGAAGTGATGCTATTAGTAGTTAGACCATTACATTGGGCAGCAATATCAATATAGTGCAGATAACACGGACCTTAATGTAACAACTGATGGTAAATCCGTGGCAATCTACAGAATGGAGTACAATAACATCTCCCACCAAGGCAGGGTGACCCGAAAAATATATTTTTTTTTTACTCTCATTCTATCACTGTCTTTCCATAGGTGCACTGATACTACTGTTCAAAATTGCAAATACCTGCACCCCCCTCCTTCAGAGTGCAGGCAGTATACTTCCCACCTTCCCACCACCTGTTTCCCTGAATCCCTTCATAAATGTTACCTTGCTCTAACTCCTACAGCACTTCAAGTCACAAAAACCACTTGCTTCCATTCACTCCTAACACGCTCACATACGCTTGCTGGGTGTCTAAGCCCCTCTCATACAAAACCTCCTTTACTCCCCTCCTTCCAAACTCTTCTAGAACGAAACGTTGTCAATATATGATTGCATTACATTCTAGCTACAACTCTTCCATTTTTAAAGCCACTCAGTGACTCCACTTTATGATCTCTCAGCTGTTCAACTAAACTCTAGTGTACCTCGCACATTCAACATTCCCTATAATAACATAAATTTTCTCAACCCCCATATATATGGAGTTAACAACGTCCAGGAGCAAAAATGATTCCAGTGTTTGCTTATGTGTCTTGAACCAGAACGTGTATTAAATACCAGGTGTTCACTACACAGTCTAGAGTTTTATTTATAAGTAAATGACTTGTTTTCCTCACCTAGCGCTTGATCAGGATCGTTGACCACAAAGTCTGCGCTGGACGAGAAGACGCCATGTTGGAGGAAAGCTACTCGACGCCCATGTCTTCCTCTGTTCGCACTGCGCTTGAACCTTCTACTTCCCCCTCGGTTGCCGCTTCTGCTGTCTTTGATACTGCGGAGTTAGGGGAAGGAGTCACTTAATATATCAAACACTGCGAATTATTAAAGTGACAGTCCGGGTCACTGGAACTAGAATGTACTACTCGATACAAATTTATTTCGTTTTACTCAACTTGTAACCGAAATGTTTCCTTTAGATGCAGAAAATGGGTCATTATAAATCTTGACCGACTTTGAGATGTAAAATTTTAATTGGCTAATCATGAATTTCAGTGTAAATTTGTAATCTCAGGCTTTAAGGATTCATCTCAGGCAGCAAAGCAACAATTCTAAATAACAAGGGATTTATAACAGGCAGCAGGGATCAGGAGTTAAGGCAGAGTAAGAAAGGAAGCAACCCACTAAAGTTCCTATCTCTGTTATGCTGATAAAGTTTATCTGATCACCTAGCTCTTGGTGCTTCGAAGGTAACGTTGTGTATTAGCTCTGCCCACAGTTCTCCATCATGGTTGGGTAGATCGTGAAAGAAAGACGAGTCTGGTATAGGGTGAACATATGGGAATGGGTTGTCTTGGTGTATGTTAGTATTGGGGAAAAGATCGGAGATTGTATTAGGAATGGAGGGGACATCTAGGAGGGGGTGGGGGTTTAACAAGAAATTGTCATATGGAGGGGTGTCAACATTTTGGGATATGTCGGCGACAGAGAGAGAGAGTGCGGTCTTGAAGTCGAGGGCGTTAAGCTGGGCGTTCGACGCTGTGTTGTCCACACGTCCATGAGGTATACGATGTAATTCCAGGATGTATCCGTCCTGGGTAGTGACGTGGTGCACTTCCACAGGGAACCCGCGGACTGAGATCAGTTCCGGCTGCCGAGAAGAACATATGTCAGTTTTACAGCTGTCGACATCATTGTAAACGCAATTAACAAAATCCACATAATCTATGATCAAGTAGGGATGGTCGGTACTATCTGAGGGGTAATAATGCTGATAGTAATTTTTTGGCAGGGTACAGAAGGAGATTTTGGTCGAATTATTAATCTTGGGGGTTAGTAACCTAATAAACCCCTCTAATAAGACTATGTGGCTTATTTCCACTAGGGGTCCTATAATACTCTCCCTTAGAATGCGACCCTCACCAGATGGCTCTCATCCAAGTACCTACTGACTGACAGATGAATAGGAAAACTATAAGATACGTATACTGAAGGAGCCTAGAGAGATTTTACCGTTGTGAGGTGAGTGTGTGGATGTTCTGGCAGATTGCGTCGTGGACGGGAATGATCATCACCTGGTGTGTGAGGGTCGACATTGTCTCTCCCCACCACAACCTCCAACATCAACACCAATAACAGCAGTAGACACTGTGAGCTGCTTCGCGTCATTGTGGTGACAGTGATTGATGTTCTCTCACTGTGACCAAGTCACGATGTATAACACACGAACTGAAAAGCGAATTTTAGAATATACCAATTATAGTCAAATATAAACAAAGTAAAGGAATCTAAATCAGCAGGTGTTGACGGAATCCAAAGTAACAAGAGAAAGTGATGTACGTACACCAGAAAACTAACTATAGAGAAAGTTAGAAATGTGGAAGAAAGTATATCACAAATATTACGAAGGTGGTGAACATTTAGAGAAAGTTTGAAAACCTGGAATCGAAAAAGAGCACAATTAAGGAAAACGTAAGCGACCCCTTTATTATTAACTACGATTTAAGCTTCAGTGTAAATGGAAAATGGAAAATTTTGGATTATGATGAAAGCAGATTTCATTCAGAACTTTAAGAATAGGTATGATACAACCCAAAAAGTTGGAAACCGGTAAAACCGAGTACAAGTAACTAAGACATGTAACTATTAAGTGACTGGTAAGTGTCTAAGTTAAGCTGTACGTGTAGAGTATAAATATCTAGCCAGTGTGTTAGTGTACAGGTTCCATGAATTGTGGGGTGGAGTAAGTGGGTGTGCCAGAGTAGGTCAGGTGATAGTGTCAGCCAGAGTACATGTTGTCATTATGACTGATCATAGGTTTGGTCACTGTGAGAGTAGGCCAAGTGGGTCTAGTCAGTGTGTGAGCGATAGTAGGTCAGGTCAGGGGAAGGTTATGATACGTAACTAACATCTTGCAATTTCCGAATTTTGTTTTCTAACTAAAACTGTATCTCACTACTTAAGAAAAAATATCCCGTAAAGAAGCCTCAGCGATGACACTTCAGGCTAAAACACTGAAAAAAAAAAAAACGACGTTGCGTTAAAATCGCAGACTAAATGTTAGAAAAAATACGATAAAAAGCATTTATTAAGTTAAACAAATGCGTGAAAGTTACTTTTTCTGCTTCTGGTGTTTTTATCATAATTTCCAGCGTATTGAGCCTCATGCAGTCTTCGTAAGTTGTGGTTATGAGACGTTCATTTTATATAATAACCTGTTAACTGAAATATTTATTCGACATATCTGGCCATTAAAATATATAAATTATTAAGAGGGAGAGGGAGATAGAGAGAGAAAGATTTGACTGGATTGCCTGCCCCTCGTCTCATCTACGATTTCTGGACAGATCTGTCATTGCAGCAGTCTCAACACCGAAGGGATGTGGGTGGATTTACTGTGATGTTCAAGGCTAACGTTGTCAAGGTACCACAATGTTCTCCCTTCCGAGGACAGCAAGAATTGATCTTCTACACCACAAGACGGGCAGCAAACAGCAACTACACTCTGGCTGTATCCTTCTCTAGAACATCACTTCATCTGAGATCATTTATTCGTACGATGACTCGTATTTAGAACATGTTCGTACAGTATAATGGCATAACGAAATAAAGTCAGTTGGCCAAATGAAATCACTGGCCCACAGATGGCTCCATCTTTATCCTGTTCCGTATTTGTATATCTCTTAACAATAAAAACAAACTTTTAAATGAGCTGATGTAGGTAACAGTTTTTAGCTTGAAAATAAAGTTAGGAACCTTCAATTTCACCCTGTAAAACCCCGCGGAAAAATAAAGTATAGTGAGAGAGAGAGAGAGAGAGAGAGAGAGAGAGAGAGAGAGAGAGAGAGAGAGAGACAGACAGACAGACAGACAGAC